AGCATATTTTTTACGCCATTTCTGGGACCACACCATTCCACTACTTGCGAACTGAGAGAATAAACAGTAAAATCGACTGAAAATCGACCGATTAGTAAAATTATAAATCAGTCAAGTATCATGTTCTGACTGGTTCAATTCTCACTATCAACCGACTAGTCAAAATTATTGTTTCGGTGTTGTATGTTTGTACTACGACTAGTCAGTAGTACAAACAAGAAAAGAAAACGGTGAATGAGTGATTTTATGATTTCGACTAGTGGCGAACTGATCGACTAGTGAACGGCTAGTCGAAAAAACGGCGACCAGCAGATGTTGATCCGTTCGACTAGTTAAGAATTCCGACTAGTCGATAATCCGACTACATACCGACTGGTTGGCAAAAATTCTGACTGGTCGAAAAAGAATTTTCGACATTTCCGACTTGTCGGTATACTAGTCGATTCTGATTTTACGTTTACTTGGGTGGTTTATGAGAATACTATTCAAACATCATAAACCATATTCTAGAAGAAATCAGTTTATGTTGTTCAGTTTATCATTTATTGATAAACGAAATCTACACATCATTAATTCATCTACAACATTGTACGATGAAGTAACCGTGTCTTGTTCGTAAATTTCAATATACTTGTTGATTTTACGGTTGATACCGATTTAGAGTGAGTGATACTTCAATTGTTCGATAAGCCGATTCATGTGCAAAAAACGGAAGCGTGTGTATCTGAAATATTTTGAATGTCTCCCGCTCGATCGACGGTAATTCGAACGATATCCATCAACAGAGAAGACCGAAAATGCTTCAGTTTTCATGTTTGATCGGCTGCCAGAACGAAGGTCATTTTTGAAAATGAGGACAGACATATGTAAGAAACATCAAACCTTCGTTTTCACGGAATAGCGTGTCCAATCAACTGATATTCTTCATATAATTTACTACTCACATACTTCAAATGAAGTTAGAATTTTCTATTGAAACTTATGAGGTTTATTAAAGTCATACATTCTCTGATAAGCTCTGAAAAGCGTCGGTGATGTGACTAAATAACATATGATCAATAACACTCTCAATTTATGCGTGCTTTATAAACAAAATATATTCATGAATAAAATCTAGGAAATTCACATTGATGATGCGTTTAGATAACATACGATTAACAACACTTTCAGGTTATGCGTACTTCACAAACAATTTTGTCGTAATTTTACTCTAGTCTTCGAGTCTATAATCTCAATACAGTTTATATTCTTAAACACTGTCCGTGAAATCTAATATTAATTAATCATCCCATCAAACGTCTCAAGGAAAGATCTTTTAATTGTTTCTTAAGAACATTGAATACCAATAGTTTAGAACATTGATGCTATTTTTAAAGTTATAACGAAAGAACTGAATCTTAATTGGTTACTTCAACGTCAGTGGTTGAAATCATTGTGGAAAAATATCCTTAGCAACGTACGTACAGAGGTTATACAGTTATATAATAAATCTAAACAAGTTGTTTGGTATGTTTTTAACTTTTTGAAAAGTTTCGATTATGTTTACCATTTTTTCCAGAGGCAATTTTATGTATTGAAAATGAGATTCTCATGATCAGGCAGAAGTCCTACGCACAAAGGTGAATTCAAAAATTGATGGAATTCGTATATCCACCAACAGAGAAGACGGAACAGAATCTAACAATAGTGACTCTATTCGAACATTCAACAGGCATGTTGTATTTTCAGACTACTTTTTAAGGACTAAAAGCAAATATCAGTCTAGTTAAGCAAGGTACTGAATAAGTGGTCTGATAATGCTTCCTTGATGAGGATGAACGAGTTCTATCTGCAAGACAGCCACTTCACATTAATAAAGCACTCATACTGTTACGAAAGGAAGATATTTTTTGCACAAAAAATGTCATACAAGACAATTATATTTTATAAAATAAAAAATATATTAGGTGTGAGTTCACATATTTTTATTGTTCATGCATGAGAAATTTTCGTTTTCAGTAATAAATATATGATGCTTATTACAGGTTCTGCACATTTTTGTGAGTTTTTTGACACTTTACTGATATATAAATGCATTTTTTCTTATAACAAGAGAAAACAGAAAGGATCATACGTTTAATACTGGGCCTCATCGTTCACTTCTGAGTAAGTTTTGTCTCAAGAATAACCCTAACTTTTGTGGATCAGATAGCAACTTCTTTTTCTCCGTTCATATACAAAGCACATGTATTGGAATGGATGGAAAGTATATATACTTGTCTCTGTCCCTATGAAATTTCGCATCTGAGAGAAACATAGAACATTTCGGGGACCTACCGACAGTGAGCATTTTTCTAATATTTAATTTTAGACATTGCTCTACTAATAAAACTTTTACTAACAAATCAGTTTCCTAAAGGTTCTTCTCTTACTCAGTCATCATTTAGACGCTCTCATTTTCTCTCTTTCTTGAGCACAATACGAAACATCTGAATCTAATTACAAGCTTCACCATAATTTGCGTTAAGCGTGAAATCTTAATATATTAGTTTTCCCTTCTGTTCTTTGCTTTTTCTTCATCTTGACCACTTTACTTCGTCTCCCAATCGATTGTTTTACTGCTGCGAAGCACTATTCGTTTTTTCTGTCACTCGCTTCGAATAAAACGCATCTCTAACTATCGTTTAGATTACTTTTCCTCAGAGGTGATCATGAGACATTTCATTGAACATGTAACTAACTCTGCACTAGCAAAAGTTCAACTCTGAGTTGAACTAACATGGATCAAATGTCCATACGTAAAATAATAAGGTCAGTCTTTCTGAATCAACGATGCAGCACATAGTTCACTCTGCACTATATTTGCGCTCATGCTCTTCTCTGATAAGCTTTCACCTCAATCTTGTTCCCCCTATATGAAATTTCGTAATGAAAATATCCGTTTCTCGATTATTTTTCCTTCGTTCAGCGTCCAATTCTTCATATCTACACAAGTCCATATTATTTTGTTTATCTAGCTGTTAATATTATCGTTAACATTTACTTGTAAATACAAACTGTCTCATTGTAACCACACACAATAGCAGCTGCTACGCTGAATACCTGCAGGCAATGATTAACTCAGCTGATCATCACCAGAAATCAAAACTTAGAATAATCGGTGCGGGCTTTGGTCGCACGGGATCAAAAAGCTTGAAAATAGCATTGAAAAAGTTGGGTTATGCAAAGTGTTATGATATGTTTGAAGTACTAAAATGTCCCGAACATTCTAAATTTTGGCTAAATGCTATGGACGAAGGTGAACAATTTGACTGGGAGGACTTATTTCATGATTATGATGCAACAATTGAGTGGCCTGGCTTTCTTTTCTATCAACAATTAATGGTCAAATATCCTGATGCCAAAGTGATATTAAGTGTGCGCGATCCAGATACATGGTATCAAAGTATCAAAGAATCGATCTATTATGCCCGTATCGTAGCTTTTCCAGCACGGATTGTGAAACGTTATGATATTTTCCATTATGGCTGGAATTGCTTAAATATTTACCGATTGATATTTAAACTTATATGGTCAAAAACCTTTCATAATCGGTTTGAAGATAAGCAATATACGATCGATCTATTTCGAAAACATAATGCACAAGTTCAACGTGTGGTGCCTAGTGAACGGTTACTTGTTTTTGATGTTAAGCAAGGCTGGGAACCGTTGTGTCGATTTTTAGATGTACAAATACCGTCTGAACCGTTTCCACATGTCAATGATAGAGTACAGTTTAACCGCAGAATACAGCAAGAAAATATGATAGGTTGGATCATCATTTTCACATTCTGTTTTCTTGGATTACTCATGAGTTATAGAATGGTTATTTAACAGAATAAAGGCGACAGTGATACAGTGCGTCCAAAGAAGCTATGATCTCGGTGAACATGTTCGAATGACATTAACTTAGACTTTTTCGCTACCTCAGACTCACTAAAAGTCTGTTTCACTTTTTGTTTTCTACTAGAACTTTATTGAATGTCAATGTACTGTGATGTTCTGAGCGAGCACAGTAGAAAGAGAAGGTCAGGAAAATGAATTCGAGACAAACAAATCATGATGCACTCTCAAGCTCGTTGCCACTCAAATTTCTCATAGTTCTCATTAGAATTGAGCTAGCGTTTAAACAGAATCTACCTCTACACAAACACACAGTGGATAACGATCGGGACATTTGGCCAAAAATCAAAAGTGCGCTTTTTTCTCACTTGAACAAAAGCAGATATATTTTAAGCTATGCTCTATTTAATGGCATAAAATTTTTTATTCCAAGTCTCTAGGTCCGTCGGAAAACTCCTAGTCAAAAATCAGCTGAAAAGCACTTGCCTGTGGAAAAAGTTCAGTTTTCTATTTAAATCCAAGAAGCGGAAATGCAAAAAGGATTAATATTCTGAATTTAGATAGCTTCAGCTACCTTAAAGTGGAAATACCTTTTCTTTCAGACGTATACTTCTGCTGGAAAAAAACAAGTTTTCTAATTATGTGATTTTCCGTACAGATCTCATCAGTGTAAGGAGTTCCTGCAACTTTGTTTTTACTTAAAACCTGTTCACAATGTTCCTTCTTGTATCCAGCATGTACGTTGCATACAGCTTTATAAAGTTATTTTTTTAAGTCATAAATGTATAACAATTCCTGCTCTTTTTCTTCGGTTCAATAAAGACTGTGCATCTGACCTGAATAGTTTCGTAAAGGTGTCCATACCAAACACTGTTCGCTTGTTTGAGTTCTTATTAACTGGCTTTCTTTCTCTTATTGGATTGGCTTTTTTGTCTATCAGTAATTAATGCTCATATATCCGAATTGCCACGTGATATTAAGTGTGCGGGATGTGGATTAAAGTTCGCGACCCAAAGCTATTGACGTGTTTTATTTCTGATAAAATTCACTTCGTCTCGAAAGAATATATATACGGTTTGTTTAGTTGTTTCATAGCTTCACAACTCTATAGAGTCGTTGGACAGAATTAGTGGTGAGGAAGGAATTATTATTGGCGATCGTGGGTTGAGCGAACTTGATTCTATGTACGAGAGAGGTTTTTGTCATTTTCATGACACATATCATCAAAACAAGCAACGAAATAACAACTTTGAGTAATGTTTACGTTCACTATAACCTTATGTCTTAAGCATTTTATGTTTTTTATAAATCGAAAAACGAGCATTTTTGTGAAAAGTTTTTTAAAAAGTCGGAAACTATTTTAACTTTATTGTTCACTTAAATGCCTTCCATCTAAGACAAACTGCACAGAAAAGTGAAAATTCGAGTTTGTGACGTTTACTCTGAGAAGACAGTCATAGCCGATAAGCGCAAAAATTTCTGCATAATAGCGTTAAGAATGTAAAATGATTATTCTGGCCTTATTGAGAATAATTTCTTTTACGATCGGATAGCCCGTTGATTAAGAAAAAATTTTATCATTCGATTTGAGAAAATTTGTGAAAAACTCCCCATCCACCTGAAAAACAGGATCTTTTAACGGAACAGCGTTACGCTCCTTGTTTTGTCCGTCTTTGTTAGAAACTAAGTTTCAAAACCGATTTCGTTCTTCTTTTTATCATTAATTCGGAAGAGAGTGACTCACAAAATGACACCAGAACGAATTCTTTACCATAAACCGTTGCTGAAAAAATCAATAAATAGTGTGAAAAAGACCTAACAGCGTTACGTTTGGACAAGATGTACGTCTTTCGAGGGTGTACAAGGAACAATGGCTCGCTGTCTATAGACGGAAAAGGCAGTAGAAGCTTGCGAAGGGATGAAGGACGACTAGAAAAATACCAAATACCGTAATTCATATATAAGCCTTCCTTGGAGTAGCTATTATTGACGGAACTATTGACCCTCGTCTCAGCGTGAATATAGACAAAAAGTATTTATTTATTTTAATTTTTAATTGTAGATTTTGTTTATGTACCTTTTTGCATAACCTTCTTCATAAACTACCGTTAACAATTAGACACTCACTTTTGAATGATCAGTACATTTTAGAAAGAAAGTTCCAAGAAATTCTGAAAAAAATTCATCTCAAAATCCGATTTGCATAGACTTTTCGAAAAGCTTTCCGCTTGTAAAAAGATGCGCTATTATCTATTCTTCCATATCTGAAAATCCCACCTTCTTATCCCTTTCCATTGTCGAGTTATTTTAAAGTAGCCACGGTCGCCATTTTATTGGACCGCCAATAGAATTGTGCACTTCAGATTGACGTGAAAACTAGCGTTGGGTAAACCCTAGTTTACTTCAGTTTAACTTGTCAGGTTGACAGAATATAGAGTCATTTCATAGACAGTGCAGTGAACATTGGTTGAAAACAAAAACGATAAAAGCGGTACATTTTGCTTACACGGCCGAGGTTTACCGTTCCTATGAGCTCAGTTGTCTGATCATCAGTCATTTGATCTCGATAAGTTGAACCATATTTTATCCTTTCTTTACTTATACACGCTAGAAATGCCAGTAAACGTGATTTCTCTTGTATAAACAAGCAAAAAAGGAAGATAGTTACGCAAAGTTCAATCGGAAAGCAACCAAAATCTACAAATATGCTCAAAAAAAGTTTTAAATCATCGAGAATAATAGTAAACACTGTCTTCTGTTTGGAACAATTGTTTTAGTTGAACAGCGTTACATGCAATGGCAATAAAACGCTACTCACTTAGCGCTCCCAACAAAAACAGTTATTTTTGCAACCATTGAGACCACAAACATGAAACTTTAATAAAACGTTTAACTATAGTCAGTATTCATCGTTCATAGTATCAGCTCAATGCGTCTAATGCAAGTTAATTTCTTTTTCCAGGCTCTTTTATAATGTTGTACGTTCTTAATATTTAGAAGAAATATTGCACAGAAAAAATTAAAGCGAAATGCTTTCCTGCTCTTAGGAGAAAAAGTACAAATTAAGATTCACTCACAACTACAATAAAATATTCTCAGTTTTCGTCGAAATCTTTATGTTTCTCTACTGACTGAGGCAATACTGGTGGTACTTGTGAGTCGTCTAGTTCACTTTTTAATTTTTCTTTTAATTCGTCTACTTTTTCGCGTGAAAGTGTAGCTAATTTAGTTGTACCATGTGAAAATTTTGAATGAAGAATAGACTGATCATCGTCTATAACAACAGCCCATGGCTGTACTTCACCTGAAAGAAAACATATAGAAACTATAGACTATATAAAGAAACTACAGTACTCGAAAGTAGCGAGTCCTCTGTAACTCTGTAACCACTGTAAGGAATATAATCTATTCAATGGCCACATGTAGTAAGACAAAATAAATCATATTCTGAAGGTGCTAGATATAAGCATAATGCGTTTCTCGTGAATTTTATAGAAATGGGTCTTAATTTTAAAAGGAACAGACTGTCAATGATTCTTACAGAACTTTACTTTGAAAAGGATTCTGTATTTCTTTCGCTTGCGAAAAGATGTGTCCTAGCCGATTTCATCGATTCACGAAAACACATATTTGTCCCTCTCTGTTTGTCATAAACATTGAAACTATTTTGAATCGATAGTCATTACGAACTGTCCTATTAAATAGTTTTACAGTACTCCGCAAAAGTAGCGGATCCCCTATAACTCAAGAGCCATGATAGCTAGGGACTTCTAATTTTGTGTGATCATAGCTCTTAACGAATGCTGATCATCCACCAAGTTCGGGCATGTTTTACTAGCTGGTTCGTGAGATATAAGCGTTTTACTTCTTTTCCGCAAAATGCTAATAACTCCTGTTCCCAGAGACATGAAAACTTTTTCTTTTTATCAAAATGTAGTCCTGATTCTCCTCTATCTACGATATGAATTTAGAGTGATAGCTATTAATGGTTACTGAAAGACAGCTATTTTACGATCGAGGTCTCTAGAAATGAGGTTCTGAGATGTGAGGTCCTTTCCAAGAAAAATTCATAACTCATTCTAGGAACATCAATTCGACTTCAAACTCACAGCAAATACTCTTCGACGACTGTAGACTATCCAGTCAAAGTATGAAGGCTAACTATTGTGTGGTTATGGAAATTAATTGAGAACGAGCACTCACAATTGAAACATGCGAGGGTGAGGAACTAAGGATCGCTCTTTCTACTATAGAATCTACATTCAATGCAAAAAAATAATCATAGAAACCTATGATTCCGAAAAACGTAGGTGAAACTTTTGTCAGAAAGATTATACATTCACCATTAACCCAGAGAGAAAATTT